GCTACCTTTCTCCATACGGAAACTTAATCTAGATGAAATATTGGTACTGTCGTTCTGTTATCGGGACCGGATTCGGATATCGCCAAAAGTTGACGATCTGGGGAAAAATTCGAAGCAAAAAAACAATCGCCAAAATATTCAAATGAAATACAATACGGTTAAGCTGAAGAAAAATCCAAGGGAAAAAATAACAACAGATATTCGTAAAATTACAAAATGTTAATGTACATTAAACAACTTGCCAAAGAAAGTATAAGAAAAGTCATTTTATGGTTCTTCGTGACTTTTTTTCACTGAATAATTCCTCATTCCTGAGAAAACTGTATGAAAGATATTTCATCATTAGGCAAGTTAAAATTTTCAAATCCATGGTAAATACAATAATAATAATAAAAACAGAAGTGACCGTTACATCTTTGGAATTTGCATTCTCGTTGCCAATTTTGAAAAAATATTCTTTTACTTTTCTTGAAAAAGTTAATATTGTAACGACCTTGGAAGTAAACACTGGCGACTTCATGTGAACCAAGCTCTTGGCAAATTTAGAAAAACAATTGGGGACTACTCCGGTCCCGATTACAGAAATCTCTTGTTAATATTTTGATATTCCTTATTGTCAGACAGCTAAACTCAACAGACCGCCAGCCAAGGATTCCGATAATTCACACTTGGTGATTGATTATTCACTTTGCGTATTTTTCAGAACGTTTTGCATTATTTTGTTGCTATGATTTTGTTTTCGCCATGTTTTAAAAGTCACTTATTTGATCCGCTGCAATACTTCATTTCGAAAAAGCCATTCTGTAATAAAGCTCAACGAATTAAATTATTAGCATTCCAATATACTATATAATAACGCAGGACAAATGACCTAACATATTGATTTAGATCATTTCTCAACATAGATCAAGGACCAAATCTGAAAATTGTTTGCCGACCACAAACGAAAAATAGTTGGCAAATTGATGGAAATGGATTAAAAGTATTTTTATTTAATTCAGTCGCTCAAAACGATCACTGGAATTCGATCGTGGCGTCAGTGTGGATGAGGCCACGTACTATGTAAACAGTCATGTGAGTCACTACATGACTGTTCACTACATGTTCACTACATGTACTATGTAAACAGTCATGTGAGTCACTACAGTTGTCGAATTTTTTTTTTTCTGAAAATCCACGTGGTTCGAAATTCTCCTCAGGTCAATGTTTGGTGTAGTTTAATAAGTAACATGACGTTTAGCCCTTACTTCTTTGTTGAAATTGTCAGCTTCAGCAAGTATTCAAAACACACTACTGAGCCTTTTGTTTCCTCAAATCAAGCAAATAAATGGCTAATGGTTTATCTTCTATTAAACAAGACTGAACATTACTCTACTTTGTGAATCATATGTCGTACAAGTTGAATCGTCGATTTCCAAGATGGTGAATTACCAAATATAAGCCCAGAGGTTGTTTGCAAAAAGGCTCACAGCCGGTGCAACTGCACGGGGCGGCAGGAATTTAGCAGAGGCAAGGTTTTTTTTTTTTTTTTTTAAATTTAGAGAAGCACTAGGTAGCAACATTTAGGGGGTGGCAAAATTGGTTGATCTTTACATTATGGTAACTTGGCGTTTTTTTGGCGAAAATTTGGCGACCAACTCTTTTACAGCAACCCTCTATTTTCTTTCCCGAAGACATGTTTCTTTTCTTTTTATCTACTGAACACTTCTTCCAACAATCTACTAGCCGAATTACACTTATGCTAGAAATTTTATCTAACAAAACTGCTTAATCATGACAAATATTCACTGCAAAATTGGGAAAAAGTGCACAATACCATACTCCTTACGCGTTTTTCAAAATAACACATACACATAAACCATGTACACGCCGACTTATTTTTACTTAAAAAAACATCCCAGAATTGCACAAAAATGGCATTGCGCACACTCTTCACTATATCCATGTACACTGCTTTTTTTCTCATAAATTAGAAAAATTTCACGAAAATACATGACAATTTTCTCAATCTTTAAACCCGGTAAAAAGAACATATATGAAATTACCTGATCGCGAAAAAGTATATACCCTTTCCAAATATGAACATTTCCACATATAAAAATAAATAAAATATCCGAAAAACTTTTACCTCTAAATCATCTATTATATTATACACGTCACCAACGAATTCATACCGCAAGCATTACAAATACTTTGTATCAAATATTTAAATTATTTCCATGCACGTTTACTTCAACTTAAACGTATACCAAATTCCTACAAACATAAAATTCACAAAATAACTATCATTTAATTAAAATATCACTAAACCATGTACACGCCGACTTATTTTTACTTAAAAAAAACATCCCAGAATTGTACAAAAATGGCATTGCGCACACCCTTCACTACATCCATGTACACTGCTTTTTTCTCATAAATTAGAAAAATTTCACGAAAATACATGACAATTTTCTCAATCTTTAAACCCGGTAAAAAGAACATATATGAAATTACCTGATCGCGAAAAAGTAATGAACATTTCCACATATAAAATAAATAAAATATCCAAAAACTTTTACCTCTAAATCATCTATTACATTATACACGTCACCAACGAATTCATACCGCAACCATTACAAATACTTATTGTCAGATATTTAAATTATTTCCATGCACGTTTACTTCAACTAAAACGTAAAACGTATACCAAATTCCTACAAACATAAAATTCACAAAATAACTATCATTTAATTAAAATATAATTAAATTCAAAAACACTACTTAAAATATAAATGAGCACATACATTAAATTAATACATACATAAATACCCATTTCGAATTCACTTTAGTTACGGCCATGGGATCCAAAAATTCACGAACACTGTTTCACACAACACAGAATAAAGCCAAATACAAAATTTCCAGATTTTTTCCCGATTTCCCCCCTTTTCCGATTAAAGAACCGTAATTCGTCCATTAATATCACATGACATATCCCATGATCTCTCACTTCCCTCACACAAAATAATGCGTAATCAGAACTGAGTACTGCTCACATTATTACCAAAGTGTCAGGTAGTAACCTTTATCGCCTCCAAAATGTCGCCAAACTACCAGTTACCATATTGTAAAGATCAACCGAAAAATTTTTAGAATTCAGGAAGACACTGAGTAACAGAGTTTAAAAGCGGCAAAATTTTTGCCACCCCCCTAAATGTTGCTACCTAGTGCTTCTCTAAATTAAAAAAAAAAAAAAAAAAAAAAGAACCACCTTGCCTCTGCTAAATTCAACAGGCAGCAGCCTTCGCAGAGATTGCACCGGGCGGAAAAAAATGCCTAGTGCCGGCCCTCATCTTATTCCACTAAATTTCTGACTCGAGGGATTTGGCAAAAATGAGATTTAGATTCAAAGAAATCATAATCTTCTTCACTTTAAACAAAGAATTGTATAAGCAACTTGGGAGTTATACCAGTCGTTCATGCAAAGAGTATTGAATATCGCTTCGATTACCCGCTCATGGTTCGCATGTCGAAAATATTAATTTTGTTTGTGACCTTGTTTGACTAACTGAATTAAATAAAAGCACTTTCAATCCGTTTCACATAATATATACATGCTTACAAAGACTTTTACGAAATCGAAACACTCACTATCAAAGATCCTGAATTTAATTTAGAAAACGTAATGAATTTTGCTTTCTTGCTCTATTGAAACCACATAAAATAAACTCTGGCATGTACAGAATCCTTTTTCTCTCGGGCTAAAACTGCTTTCAGAATAATCTGAAAATTTAATGAAATAAATTTTGAGAAATTCTCGAATCAGTATTGAAGAAAAGAAAGCCTGTAAGGCATCTTTCCCCCCCATTTACCCTTAAGCTCCTACAAGTAATAGGAAACAAAATAACATGCACAAACTAATTCAAGCTCATACTAAAACTCTGACACATGTGCTTAAAAAGTGAATTATAAAAATAGCTTTGGGCTACTTGGTAGAATTTAAAACTTGATATTTCATATCAAAATACAGGAAGAAAATGCTGAGCTGCTAGTACAGCGCGGAAAACGGAAAAAAGTAAAAACTTTTTTTTGGTTTCAGATCGGTTATCACAGAAAAAGGTCGCTTAAAATTTTTTAATTAAAAAAAAAAAATTGAGGCAATAGTTTAATTAACTCTTTTAGCAAGTGCCTCCTTAATGTAATTTCAATTATTTTTTACATGACAATCATATACCCTGCATTAAAACAGCATTTAAATTTTAAAGTTTGTCACAATTTCAAAGAGGAAAAAAACCACGCTGAACGCTGATTAGAATTTCAATAACTATTGGTTTTATATTTTGCTCGCATATTAAATTATACGTATTTATAAAATTTAGCTTTTGTTCATAACATATTTGCAATATCTGAAACGATAGTCTTTGGAAATGCAATTTATACAAATGAAAACTATCCTGAAAATAAAAATTCCAAAAATCCTGATGCTTTAAATTAATTAAAAACATCCTGAAAGTTAAAATTATTTAAATATTTGATAAATAAAATTTCAGTACTCTTCTATTATCGGGACTGGATGTATGTATCACTGTATGCATATATACAAGTACGTATGTATACAAGTACGTATGTATACACACATACACATACATACATTTCTGAATCAAGTCCCGATAACAGAAGAGTACCTAAAATTCTATAGTATGGAAAGTAAACAACAACTACACACACACACACACACACACACACACACAAAAAAAAAAAAAAAAAAAAAAAAAAAATTAAAAAAAAATTTAAACCTTATTTGTCATTTACGATTGGAAGCATTTAATAACTCGTAGCTATCATAAGCATTAAACGAAAGTGCCTAATAAAATATCTTTGCATACAGTGATAAAAAAGAACTGATACTCTGTTCTCTGAGACACAGGTGCTAAAGAATAGAAAACGGGTCATACACAATGTAGCTAAATGTCAAACAATAGAACATAAAAGAAGACAGTAAAGTGTTAGGCACTCACCTAATTTGCAGCTCGTTTTACGCTTCACCCTCAGACATATCGTCCTGGACCGTATGCACTGCAATAAAAAATAAAATCATCTAAAACAATAGAATTATCAGTCACAAAAAACAGCTCGATGTAAGCACGTTCGCACAGATTCTTCGAACGCGACGAACGCCGCTAGACGTTCCTATCGGTTCTAGACAAACAGAAAGAACAAGTGCTTTGGCGAATAGGGTTGCCAATTTATGATCTCGCCAAACCGGCTTTTGTACGTTTTCAAGTTGTGTATTCCGCATTCAGATGCTACAGTATTTTTTCTCCCGCTTTAATATAATGCAAATGTCTTAAGGATGAATATTTGGCGGCAACACAGCCTTCGGTTTAAAGGGCAGCTATTGGAGTAGCCCAGCCCCTTTGGGGTTGCTACGTCATCAGCACGGGCAATTGGCCAAAGTAGAGGAAATGGAAGATTATCATGATGAATATTAAGACGCGGAGGCTTACAAAATATGTCGTTTTAATTTCGAACATTTTTAAATTTTTCAATTACAGTACAATTCTAACTATAACGATCGCTTGTTCTTTCCTGGCAAAGAATGGCTAGCACGGGGGTTCTCAACCGCTGGTACGCAAAAGAAGCAAAGTATTTTTAACTATTAAATTCACAAATTAAAACCCCCAACTTCCTGATTGAGTTTTTTCTCTATCACTCGTAAATTTATGCGATTTGAGCTTTGTTCAAGAGTGGTGGTGGTGGTAGTAGAACTTTGTAGTGGTGGTACTAAAGGTTTTTCAATGTTTGTTTAGATGATACGCGTTAGTCAAAAGGTTGAGAACCGCTGCTAGCCTATTATTTACGACTTTTTAACGTTTTCTCTTGATTAACATGTATTCGGCAGTGCATTAACTTAAAATCTAGATATCCGTGTAATAAAGTGCATTCATAATTACATTATATATATATATAATATTACATGTATGATCTTAAATCCATTTAGTGCGAATACAAGTTATTACTACTTGCGCAATTGCTGCAAAGTTAGTTAATAATAATTTATTTCCTAAACAGTATTGATTAATTGATTATATTATGTCCTAAGTTTAATTAAAGTAGAATTATTATAAAAGTGTGAATCCATACTGGTAAGTTATATTTTGAAAGATGTTTTGAAGTAATTTGAAAGCAAAATGTTAATAATGTTTTAACGGGGACTGGAGTTAAATCATCATGAAGAATAAAATTTCAATTGTAAAAGAAAAAATTAAAACATGTAATCATTGTCATTGATCGGAAATTAGCTGACTTTTCAAGGGGAACAAACCAACTCCCGTTCAATGAACAATAATTGATAAAAATATGTAAATACGAAAGTGTTTCGTCTTTACTCGAATTATAATAGATCGTTGAAGAAATATAGATGTAGTCGTAGCTTAAATTATCAGAGATGTAGTCGTAGCTTAAATTATCAGACGATAAGTTTAAAAAAACAGGATCCATTTATTATTATTCAGGAGAAATAGCAGTTACAAAAATCAGATATCCGGAGTAAATAAAAAGAATTACTAATGACTTTTTGTATGAAGTTTACTGCATCGTTGCATTAAAGAAAAGCCCCCGATATTCTTTTGCGAGTCCTTTTAAAGCCTCTGGAAAGGCGGAGCTTCCAAGAAATGACGTCAGCATCGTCAGCCAATCCAGTTCCTTTTAAATATTCCCAGAACATTCTATAACTGTACGTATAGAAAAGGCGGGAAAATAACTTGACTACGGGGCTGTGGATTTAATTTCACGTACTTTCAAATAAAAGACCGTCGCCATTAAAAATGAAAAGAACATACAGTTAGAATTTTAAGTGTATTCTTGATTATGGAATTTTATTATTACATATATATATGCTTTAAAATTATTACCTAACATTTGTTACAATTGCCTACAGATTTAGGCATACAACAGCCTTGAACTGGAAAACGGAAAAAAGATAATGCAGAATATTACGTCAGTTCAAGACTGTTTCAGCGACGGACTAGATGAATGGAAAAATTCCTCCCACCACCACGGACTGCTTCACAAATTTCGAAGCTCAGGGCATACATAACTTTCCGTGTGCAGAACTTCCCGTGGTAATGTTGTGAGTAAAGAACTGAAACTAAATGATTTTGGCCATTCCCAACAAAATCGAGATTAGTGAGCAAGTGTTCACCAATGGATTAACCCCAAGTCCTCAAAAAATTATTCATAGAAACATGATATTCCGTGATTACAGAAATTGCAGATTAATTTTTAAATGATTTTTTTTCCCTATAATTTATTTGCCAGTACAGTACCGAATACTTCAAAACAGAGGTTTTTATTCTAAATACGGTAATAAAACTATATTTCATTGTGTGACACGGCTTCTTTTAAATGACGTTTCTTTTATCTTTCGATCTGGTGTGAATTCACTGTGATCAACGTAGAGTGTCAATGGCAGACGAATAATAGAAAGTGAGTGGCAGAATACTAAGTTTCCCTATAATTTTTTTTATAATAAGTGATTAAAGTAATTTAAATGAACTCGTATGACATTTATTGGCTTAAAATATTCGACATTATACAGACAAAATAAGACCAGGAGAATTTAATCGCCAGGCGTGGGAAGCTAAATACGCTGTAAAGAAACGTGATGCCATGCATCGATCGTAGCGGCCCACCAGAGGCCGAGCGATAAAATCGCGGAATACTGGTAGTTCTGACCTGCGATTCTAGGGTCCACCAGCAGCCGAGCGGTAAAGACGCTGAACACTGGTAGTTCGGTCCGAGGTTCGAATCCCGCGAACGGGCTGGCTGCATGGGAGTTTTCGTGCTTTTCCCCATGTGTAACGTGTATACGTGCCAGTTTCCCTTAGAAAGTCCTCTACGAAGGCATCCCTCCCTGAACCCTTTCCCACATGCTACCTTTTAAAGTTGGAGTTATAGCTTAAAAAAAATAAAAAAGGTAGGCAGTCTAATTAGGCCTAGAGGTACACAAGTAAAATTTTGTGAAGATAGAACTTATCTTTTAATTCTGTGGGTGTGCCCAAAGTGGGCACACTTATTGAATAGAGCTTCGAAAAGAGTGCTGAAACAAGCATTGCTGTCAATGAACTGACCAATGGGATGCGGAGAAACAAAGAATACAGACTCTCAATTGTCCTAGATGATCGGTGAGCCCGGTCTGAGCACACCTAGGGTTAGCGTTTGATTTTAGGCAAGATTTCAAGGTAAAAATTTTAAACTATTATAAAATAAGGAGATTAGCATACGGCCAAAAAAATAACATAGAAATTTCTTTTCAAACAATTCCTTTTATATCCTAAAAAAAATCTAGGAAGATTTCTTTGAAATATGAGGGTCTTAAAATACTAAACATGGCTAAAATATATGGACTGGTTTTGTGTTGAGCTGCCCTCTACTATAAATAAAGATGGTTCAGAGTAACCTTTAAATCCTTTTTCATTCAATTTTTCTGCGAGTACAGAAGGAAATTTTTAGGTGTGTCCAACCCGGACACACTGTACCGCAAAGGGTTTAGGCAGATAGCCCTCGTGTGCTTTGCCATAATTGAATAATCCAATCCAATTCTGCGATTCCATTCGAAGGGCTGGCTGTATTTGCGTTTCCATGCTTCTCATACAAGCGGACAGACATACTTCTCAGGGACAGAACGTACTCGAAACGTATGGGGACTTAAAATCGTTCGGAGAGAAGAAGGGCAGAATCCGCTAAACTCTTCTTAACAGCTTAGTGAACTGCATACGTAACAGATGTCAAATATGCATCAGTGTTCCGAAGATGTCAAATTCTATACTGACGGACTCATATCTGTCCTTCTCTTCGTAACTGTTGAAACTAGCTGTAGGACGGATTCCTCCCCCCTAACTTGTTTTGCCATGCGATGACATCTGTACCATTTCGCATAATAACGATATTTGAAGATGTCTATAACGTATGCACTGCGTCTCTTTTCTTTAAATGATGTCTATCATTAGTTACGGCAAAAAATGTCTCTTTTTTAGTACCTGTAAAGCAGGGTATTTCAGAAAACCAAATCCATATCGGGAAGGCCAGACCATGGACATTTAAGAACCACGAGCCCAATAAAGTTCAATATTCGCACTTTCGGCCAAAGGATTGTTTTGGCTTTTGGCTTGTGTGAAGGGACGACTATGTCCCTTCACACAAGAGTTCAACTCGTGAGCAATTATCTTCAACGTAAGCTTGTTTGCAATGTGGCAGATATCTCGCCAGTGTCAATCTTAGTGTCAAGAAATACTGCTTTATCTCGCCAGTGTCAATCTTAGTGTCAAGAAATACTGCTTTATCTCGCCAGTGTCGATCTTAGTGTCAAGAAATACTGCTTTATCTCGCCAGTGTCAATCTTAGTGTCAAGAAATACTGCTTTATCTCGCCAGTGTCAATCTTAGTGTCAAGAAATACTGCTTTATCTCGCCAGTGTCGATCTTAGTGTCAAGAAATACTGCTTCCTGAAGGCTTCAAGAGAGAAACTTTTTGCCAGAAACTCTTCAATTTTAGCTATGTTCGCTCCATGCATAGAACATTCAATTTCAGAAGGGCCACGTTTCTCTATATGACGAGTCTAAAATTTGAATTCAGCCTAGACACTGATTCTCGAAGTACCTTATCTGGAAAGAGTTCAAGACCTGGTACTTTTCCTGCATCAATAAAAGGGACAACTATTTCAGCGGCATTGCCATGATCTATCAGCATACATCATGTTATATGGCCGCACTTCACTCTATGTTTCACAGAGGTTCTCGAGGAAGAGAGGAAATCTAAGGCAACCGTATGTGTAATGTTATGGACGACTATGTCCCTTCACACAAGAGTTCAACTCGTGAGCAATTATCTTCAACGTAAGCTCACTCGACTGATGGATCGGCAAGTCTGGTGTCAGTTCTGAATATAATTGAACATATTTGATATACACTTAACTGAAATTTGGAAATTGCCTCCGAGAATCATCTGAAAAGCTATGAACTGCTTTGGGTGCAATAGTGGGAGAAGGGACTACCATATGGAATCACCAGCTAACTTGTTAATCGTATGACGACTTACTGAGCGGCTTGTGTGTTTGTTAGGTGATAATGCACCCTATAAGACTTATTTTAGAAGCCATCTTGCAGTATAAATTTTGGACATTCCCTATAAGACTTATTTT